GATAGTCGACGAAGCATGGCCAGCGGCACAAACAGGCATTGCAGGGCCAGCATTTGAAGCGGGTCTGCCTGAGCTTGCCACGTGACGTTACCATGCCGCGCTGCTTGCAGTGCACGCACACTTTCCCGTGGCCGTTCGCTTTGCTGAGGCTATGCGGCTGACCAGATACGTACGTAAACCCTCCTAAAGAGAAACACAGTGTTGTGGCGAACAGCAAACACAATGCTCGTCGGGCTGTGTGGTCGGGGTTAGTCAGTTTCTTAAGAAGTAAGTAGGCGCGGTAGGGGCATGCAGGCAACCGTTAGTTGTACAGTTACAAAAAAAATTACAAAAAAAAAACCCGAAAAGACCTCCGTTTATATCACATCCCTCGGGCAAAAAATACAGCAAAACCGTGGCAGCGGCAACGGCAGCAGCAGCACCAGCCCCAGCACCAACCACAAATAATCCCACAATCGCAGCATCCGCTAGAAAGCCGTGTCTACAGTGTGTGTCATTAACGACCTGATGCACCCCGTCCGCCCCGTTCTCGTTAACATCGCGGTCGTGGTCGTTTAAACATCGCGCTAATTACGACGAGTTCGCGCGTGCGGTAGCGTGTGTTCCCAGTTACAATTTAATTGCTAGTTCCAACGCGCAGGCATCATTCCGACGTCTCCCCCTCCGCGGAGGGGAGTTCACGTGACGCTCCTCCTGTTAAGCTCCCCTATCGACGTCGACGAGTTTGTCCGGTCGACCGGTAACTCGAAATTTACTCGAGCATTTACGGGGGCTCGTTAAGTAGCGATATCAGTCTTTTCTTTCGGCGAACGCGCGTTGGAAGCGAGTCCACGTGGACGAGCTTCCGGTTCTCGTCCTGGGACGCTTCGTTCTCTTGAATAATCGTTCCTCTCACGAATCTATCGATGAGATCGCTGCCTGACGGTGGAGACCATCGTAAGATAATTTTCACAGCCATTTCTTTTCCAATCGACTATGTGCCGTTTGACAGTTTCGTTGTCCGGGAGCTCGCAAGAGATATCTCTCCGCCTTCACGTCGGCCAATGAGATTCTTTGGCGAATCGAGAAGTGAATCTCTTTCCATGCGGTCGATGACGCTGGAACGAGGACGCTGATTGCACGTAATTGATTGGGACGCCCGCCGGCTCGCGTGTTCAGCCTCGTGTTTCTTGACGATGAGCTTCGTCGACCTCCCGCTGCGCTATACGCGAGCGAGATCGATACCTCGGACGAGCGAGCTTCTCTATCGCGGACGGGAAAGCCACGCCGATTGCCTCTATCGTGTTCATCGTTGCACTTCGCTTTGCGATAAAAGTGTCGACGAGCCGGCTCACTCTTCTCAGTGCGAAACGCAAACTCCTACACAAGCACTCGTCGTCCATCAATGTGTTTGTTTGTCCATGCCATTCATCGATCTCGATCGATGTTTGTTCAGAAACGACGACGCACGGTGAATTTCGCGACATCACAGGACTACCGACAAGATCGCGTGTCAGCGAAGTAACTTTGAAAAATTATTCAATACCTTGGAATTAGAAAAGCCAATGGCAACGAGATTTGGAGATAGGAGTTCTGTGTCCAAATAAAGATATTAGTTCGAAACGACTGTCAACGAAAGCTCATGATCAATTTTGATGTAGAATTTACCTGCTGACTTCTCTTTCGACCTCATCACGAAATCGTCCAACGAAATTAATGTCACTCTGTATAGTTCAGTGGCAATAAATATTAGAAATTTTTTCTCTCTCTCTCTTTCTAAGCCACATTATTTGGCTGTGATTGCTCTAAATCCAAGATATCATATTTGCTCGATCAATGCGGTCCGCAATCGTGCGCTTTACAGTTGCGAATCAATAATGAGAAAATCCGCGCGATAAATCAATCTCGAGGCGAAATGCAGCGGGTCACATTGCGCGGAGACACGTGAGAGACGGTAATAACGTTAGCACTTGAAAAATGAAGGAACAAGCTTTTTGATGTTTTTGTGATAGGAAAACTCATATTTTTGGTTTCTTGTTAAAGACTTGAATTACCTACCTGTCAAAACGTTATCTATTTCTTTTTCGGCTATTTTGATAACTAAAGAATTTCGGGTCGGGTCAAAAAGTATCCCCCCAAATCCCAAAACTCGTAAGATTCTCGAAGAAAATATCGTATATCGATAGTCTTCCAGAATCCATCACTCATCCATCTGCTCATTGAATTTGTTTTTCGTGAAATTTTGATCAACTTTGTGTGTAATTAGTAAGCAATTGATAAAAAACATTCTTAGTAATAGTCCACAAAAATAACTGTTTCTACTTATTTGTCGTTCATTAATTTATTAGAGAATCATCGAAATCAATCAAAATTTAATATTTACGCTGATGATAAACAAATCTCAAACTATAAATGTATTACAGTTTTGTTTGAAAGAAATATATATATTCTTTTAGATGTATATATATATTTTTTTATGGGCTGATCTAGATTTATAATCACTTGTAAATTAAAAAAAATGCTAACTGCACTTGATAAATAGAGAATGTTGTAACTGCTGATGCAATCTTATGTATTTGTTGAGATACCTTTGAACTTGAAATTTCCACTTAATCATGCGAAAAAATATGCACGTGATGTCATTCTTTCCAGAGATCAATTCTTCTAATGAAATACTAATACCAACGTAGACTGACAATGCTAGAAAATGACGGATTCCGGAGAAGTATCGATCCAAACTAATCGCCGTTTTTCCCACACGCATTCGTATTTACTGTATAGAATTTTGCACCGTACAAAAAGAGAAAGAGTCGGTCTTAAGCTATAAGATATTAAGGAAAGATTTCACGCATGCCACTGTCACCAGAGCACCACCACCACCTGACTGTTTCAGAATTAGATTGTATCCGACGAGGCTGCGCGATAGTGTACCTCGCGGTGCAGAATGAAACGATTGTTGCATTTTGCAAGTTAATCTTAACTTAACCCAATAGAGATGCAGCAATACTGATTGTGAGATCGCAAGAAGAGATCCCAACTCAAAGAGTACATAAGCAATTATACCCGAAATGGAATAATTTTAGAACATCTCCTCTAAAATTATTGTTTTATGCTGGTATTTTCATTGTCTATTAACTGAACTTTGCAAACGTATCGTGCACATCCAAAAGAATTTCGAAACTATTTATGTCTCGAGTACAGTAAAACCTTGATTTGAAATTTATTTAAGGCACTTAGAGCATAATTATGTCATTAGGAAATAAATAATTATTATATATTATAGAAAAAGTTTTTCTAATTGCTGGTAGAATAATATACTCGATGGTGATAATTTCCATTAAAGTTTTCAGCAAATGATCCCGTAAATTTGATAGCGTTTCGTTCTCACGTTCAAAAATGTATTATGCATTTAAAATTAACGTTACATGCAAATAAATCGTCTGTGTGTATCGAGATTTGCGCTGATTACACACAAATTAAGTTTTCAGAAGGAATTGCCTTGAACCAGCATCGGAAGGTATTTTTCTTTTTTTAGTATTATACACAAAAGTATGCTTATAAAGTTAGTGCGCATGAGGAATATAGTGATGGCTTTTGATATAAAGTTATTGAAAAAAGGAATGTTGATGATTGTCGGCACACATACAGCACTTGGCAATGCTTACTAGTATCTACAGTTCAACCTACACCCGAGTGCCTGTACCATACATTTACATCCAAAACACCATGCACTCTGTACATTAACAGTAAATCTCGATGTGATCGTTGAAAAAAAATTAATGTAATCTCTCTCCCATTATAATAGGGAATCGCGCGCAAATATTTATCGAATCGTTAATGCTCAAAAATTGACTTACGATAAAGTGCGAACCTGATTCTGTTTAACAATGCAAGAGTAATCTAGTGAAAAATTGATAGCATTGTAAGATTAATGTTTCACAGAGCATTGCAAAAACTAATAAACTTTTAATAGCAATACGCGGTAAAATTGACGCTATTTTTGTAAACCGCAAAAAGTATTATCATTTGTTTGCTATTTTTACACATTTCTTTAAGCTAGAAAGAACCAGATCCACATATAAAAGAAAAGTTGTAAGTAAACCCCTAAAATATTTTCTGCAAAAACTCATCGTTGTGGAGAAATAATGGACGTTTCCATTGGAAAATCCTATATCATTGTCTTTAAACTTAATCTAATCTTTTTTTTTTTTCTTTAATTTGTGTGCGTGTATAAGTAATGCAAAGCTGCACAGACTACCAAACCATCGTATAATTTGATGTGAAACTCAGTCAACTAACTACCCCTCAACTTAATAGATGTCACAATAAAAAGGAATCCCGTCTTCCTTCCTATTGTTGTCGAGAAATTCGTACAGAACCTTAATCCATGGAATCAAGTAATTCCCATGTGTGATACTAATGCTTCATGTATCAAGGTGTTCATAATACTGCGTCAGTTTTGTACCCACAAACGCATGCAATTGTACCATCACCATTAAAATTATCAGAGTGCAGTTTTATTTTAGAGCAATTTATAGTTGGAATTATAGTAAATAAAATTTTTTTGTAAGTTTATATATATAATATTATATAAATTCAGGGATATATAGAGACGCATATTTTCAAATATTAAAAAAATATTGTAAGCTTTTGGACTGTATATGTAGACTATGTGGATACAAAACTTAGATGTTTGCTGTACTGCCATTACTACTAAACATTACTATCACTACATTGCATTTGTAAAGTATAATTAAATTCTGATCCACTTTCATCGCTAACAGTTGGATATTGAAGATAAACAGTTAAATATATTTTGTTCCAAATTTGTTATATATTATAGTTTGTTAATTTAATAATTTAATTTTAAATTACGATTTAAATAAAAAATATTAAAATTCAAAATTTACTTCAATTATTTAATTTATTATTTAATAGTATATATATATAATTTTTTTTTTATCGTAATGGCAGAACTACGTCATACAATTTGTACATAATAAAAAAAACATCTCACTCACCCTGTACTGCATCCTGCCTTGACTGTCTCTCTCCAGAAGTACTTGGTTTAGAAAGTAGGTGTCCTAATAAACAGACAAAACTCCTTTATATTAAGAACTGATCGAAGTGAATGCAATTAAAGGTTATTCTGCGAGTTCTGAAAATTATCGCGAACAAGTATACCTACCAACATCCGCTGATTGATGTTTGCCGTCCAAACCGTCCGATGTCGATTGACTCGAGTAAAACGTCTGACTGATGTCGGGCTTTTGTTCGTGATCAGGTGTATTTGATGATGCTTCGTCTATAGCAATTTTAGTCAATGCACTGTCGCCTATACTCTGGTCTTCGTAACTACAACTGCTACCGTCTTGCTCGAGATAATCGGGCATCTCCAGTTTTAAATTTGGCATAAGGGGAATTATTTCCACAGGATCGGAGCTAGACCCGGTTTGATTTTCCGACGCTTTTCCATCGGAATCCTTCGCCGACTCACTGTTCCTCGCTGAATTCTTTTCCGCATTCGCATTTGTACTTTCTCGAGTTTTTCTCCTTTTGTTTGGCGGTGTTTCAGGCTGCAATTCAACGGCATGGTACGGCATCGGCGAGGACGGCGATGTATTTCTCTTTCTATCCGCTGTAGATTTGCCTGTAGAGGTGTTCTGCAATTGGACTTCAGGCTCATTAGGAATTTCTATATCATCCTGAAAAGAAATATAATATATAAATAACGACTATCAAACGCGTATATTTTTAATAGATTTTACATGTTAACATCTTACCTCTACTAAACAGTCATTATCCTTTCCTGTACCATCTGTAAGGCCCTGTACTGCCAAAAGTTCTGCCGTTGTGAGAAAACTTGCTAACTGTTCTTGAACAACATTCACTTCGCCTTGGTACATAAAATCTACCAAAGCAGCCAAATCATCAAATTTTACATTACGGAATATTACGACTGGATGCTGGCACGGATTTTCCTATAATAAGCAACCATTATAGAGGGTGTTTCTGCGTTTAAATAAACCTGTGATAAATAATCTGTCTTTAAACAAATTATTTTTACCTTAAATAAATCTCTAAAGTATGTGCTACATGCTGACAAAAGCATTTTATGCGCTCTGATCTTTTTGCCCTCACAGCTCAAAGTAACATCTACGAGATCTTGATCTGTTCTTAGTGTATCGAAAGCACAAGTGATGTGTTTTAGATAATTATTCCATCTAAGAGAGTATTGTTGACTGGAACCCATGCTGCTTCCCTGAAAATAAAAGGAAGCCAACTTCTTATTAGATCATGAGATATAAATTTACACTGCGGTGTGAATAATTTTATAGAATTAAATAGACAAATATAGAATTAAATAGGCAAATGTAGAATTAAATATACAAAATTTCATTAAAATAAAATTAAAGTAGAAATACTCATAGATACGCATTTTTTTTTTTTTTTTATTTATTTAATAGTAAATAATTACAAAACAATTGATACATCGCATGTTAATTCGAACAAGCAAAAACGAGACAACAGTATCCAAAAAATTATCCGGGAGTCTTGTATCGTCAAACAAAATGTTACCTTGTGTGCGTCCTTGGGGTGTAAGCGAATCGAAAGCGTATCTCGAGGGAGTCTTGCAGCACCACGTGCAGGAAGTATTAAAACGCGGCTGCGAGGCCAATCCGTATGTTTGCGCGGCGAATGGGCTAAAAAAGATGACGATCAGCCGCACCGCCGTTCGCGTAAACACAGACTAGTTACGCGTTTGATGTAAAATAAAAATTGCAAACAGTCGAGCTGGCCACACTCTCATGGCACCGTACAAGCAACACTGAGATGGAGAAGGGGGGGAGGCTCGTTGCTGGCGCGCCACACACTCGTTCACCGCTCGACGCTCTCTTTTTCCCACTCTTTTTTCCCTCCCTCTCTCATTCACGGCGATCCTGTCAATCTCAGTCAGCGAACTGCGCGTCGTTATATAACTGCATCGCGTCCTCACGACGTGCTTCGCGCTAAGAGAAACGCCCTTCTCCGAATTCGCGTCGTGTTCTCTTACAACAAGCCACACTTCGGAGCTGTGTGACAGCTGGCGGCCATTTGCCGTACAGGGATCGCGTATAAAATGCGCGAGAAGACGCAACTATCCCCTCTTTTCTTCCTTCTTGCGGCTTGTTATGGCGCATTCACACTGCGTTTGATAAGCGATGACGACAATACAATGTCCAATAGAAAAATGCATTTTCTAGAAATTTCAATTCGCTATAAGCGTTTAGGATATATCCAGGCAACTTATATAACATACCATAATGAAAACAGACCAATCATGTATTTAATATAAAGCAGTCTTTATTTACTACGCACCATACAGCATACGGCATTTCTAGTAATTCGCTTATGTAGAATGTGATTTAGCACGGAAATTCGCATCGCGTATCGCTGGCTTTAAACTCCAATTTTTTTCCTAATCTGTCACTTTTGGAAAAAGACGTCACATACAAGATCAAACAATCACAAGCAGAATACGAAAAGGACACGTGTTACTTGATCTATGGTTTTCAGAATTTACAACAATGTTCTCTTGGTTTTCTTAGATAATATGTTAGATAAGATAAGATTTTATTAATTTAATGCAGTCTGGTTTGACCAGAGGTCCAATTTAATACTGTCAAATATATTAATATCGCGTATAAGCAACACGAACATCGTATACATTACTTAACCTTTAACAGATGACGTGTCGCATCCAACAATTAAAATTTGACAACATATTAAAGACACTATCTGAAAGTATCGTGTTGAAAAAAACTAATAATAGAGAAAAAGAGTGAAATAATAAATATAAACTTATATAAATATGTTAACATCAAGTGTCATTATATACACGATGTCCAAACATAACAAGTCAAACTTGGAGGCTAAACACATAGATGTTTATGTGTCAATTTAATATATATTTATGTGCACTTTATATATAAGTCATAATTTATTAGATGAACATTTGGCATTTTATTGAAATATTTTGACTATAAAATTGTTTATCTTGTAAATATATAGTGATATATTTATTCTACAAACAATTTGTAACAAAATATTGTTACAAATTTTTTAATAACTATATAATCTATAAGTTCTGTGTGATTATTGTTCTCTGAAATATAAGCTTAACAAAGATGCAACTGGAAAAAGGACTTGCTTACGAATATATGTACATCACATCTGTGATTGCAGCCTACTGGTAAGCAACAAAATTATGTAAAATTTCCAATGTGGAAAATAATAAATTTTATTTTCACTTAATTGCTACTAACGCATTTTTTAAATGTATATAATTCTATGTACAATTTGTTGAAACCAGAATTTTACATAATTTGAAATATTTTTTAGGATAGTATCCATTTTGACTGTATTTGTAAATAAGGCGCTTCTATCTAGCCAAATTATAAATTTGGATGCTCCTCTTTTTGTAACTTGGTTTCAATGCATAATAAGCGTAGTTATTTGTGTCACTTTACGCACACTGTCGCGATGGTTCCCAAACTACATTACAATGGCAGATGGTAGCCCATTTAGGAAGGATGTTATAAGAAAGGTATAGTTCTTTCAAGAATATTTCAAGTATTTTTTCAAATCACTGTAAATCACTGAAAGCAAATTATTTGATCTTAAGAAAGCTTTGCATCAAAAGACTTTTATCTTATGGCTAATTCTTTATAATTGGAAATGAAAAAATAACACAATAAATTTATTGAAGAAAAATTAATTTTGTATTAAAATATGGAAAGACTTTTTCTTTCTCCTCTCTTTCTCTCTTTCTTTCTATCAGCTTTTGTAAAAGTGTATATATATTTTTTAACTGTTATAGGTACTGCCATTATCAATCCTGTTCACTGGAATGATAGCGACTAACAATTTGTGTTTAAAATATGTTGGCGTTGCCTTTTATTATGTAGGTCGCTCACTGACGACTGTATTTAACGTTGTGTTTACCTATATTTTACTTGGTGAGAGTCTTACATACAAGCAAGTCTAACTGAATTAATTGAAACTTATCAGAATAACTAATCAATGGAAACTTACAGGGCAAAAAACATCTCTAAAATGCATAACATGCTGTGCAGTAATTATCGCTGGATTCTGGTTAGGCGTGGATCAAGAACAGGTAGCTGGTTCTCTGTCTGTTCTTGGAACCTTTTTTGGTGTGCTTGGATCATTACTGCTATCCTTATATTCCATTCGTATGAAACAGACGCTTCCAGCAGTAAATCAAGACATTTGGTTGCTTTCTTATTACAACAATGTGTATAGCGTTATCATTTTTATTCCATTAATGATACTAAATGATGAACCGACGACTATATATAATTATGAGAAACTCAGACACCCTTTTTTCTGGGGTGCTATGACGGCCGGTGGTATATTCGGCTTCGCCATCGGATATTTCACCGCGCTTCAAATACAAGTCACATCCCCATTGACACACAACGTCAGCGGGACTGCGAAAGCATGCGCTCAAACAGTTTTAGCAACTTATTGGTTTAACGAAAAGAAATCATTCCTTTGGTGGGTAAGCAATGTGATCGTCCTTACTGCCAGTGCATTTTACGCGAAGATTAGACAACTAGATTTAAGGAAAGAGTACAAAGCCGAGACACAATTGCTTAAGGTATAAAATAATAATAAGATGTAACAATTTTATTTAAGCTTTTATATTAAAAATTTATTCTACCCATCATGTATATAAAAATTTATTTTATAAATATTTTATAAAAAAATATCAAGAAAAACAATTTGGAAAATACTGTTTTTTCTTATGTATATGCAAACCAACTTTCATTTTAAGTTTGCAAGAGTGTATATATACGTATATTACATTAATGTAGATAAAACAGTAAAAAATATATAAATACATATTTCAAACATTCTCGAAAGAAGTCGATTATTGTGCACCCATGAGTATTCATAGAATAATCATTATGTGACCGAAATTTTAATATCACAGTTTTCAAAATTCTTGACACGACTGTATATGCTTGTAACAAAGCATACGTATTTAGAATCGCGATGCGATTCCGTTTCCACGGCTATCGGAATGACTCGATAACAAATCTTTCGTTTTAATTATTGCATTTACACTTTTTATGAATAAACTATCGTCAGTAGGCAATGAGGATATCATAGGACGCAATCGTGCTTGCAAAGCAGCGTCCATCGAATGTCTTTGATTATTTTCGATCATCACACCAGATGGAACAGAATAATATCTGTATAAAAAGGAGAAAGTGTAAGCTGTCAGCAATTATCAAAATTTCTTATGAATTATCCGAAGATATCAGACTTTTTTTACATACCTGGGATATTCTATTGCAGTGGAAACGTTCAAAGCACGAATGATAAGATTGTATAGAATTTGTCCATTGAGAAAAGCATCGTTTGAACCAAACACTCCACGTAGTCCACATATTCCTTTTTTAGAGTGAAAAATTATAGGAATAAATGTGGATAAATTGTCATCATCGATGTTGTCTAATAAAAATCCAGCGTCAGTCATATTTCCAAGGCCAAGAGGTGAACTCAAACCGCTGCATCGTTCATAATATGTTAATACAATAACAGTATGATTGTCTAATAAATGTAAATATATGTGATTTGCATTACTAACGATAAGATGCTGACGTATGTATCTTGCCAATCCATTGCCATAACTCCAGTGTATGTTTCTGTTTTTGCTAAAATTATAATTATGAGATTACTAAAAATTGTAACTATAAAATGATAATGTGTAAGCTTTTGATAATAATTAACAGAACAGCAGATGTGACTCACCATGTTGCATATTTTGAAAAAATGGTAAATTCAAATACATCAGTGCATGAGCAATAAGAGCTTGCGATTCTATCGTGGATGCATTTTTTGCGAAGATTGGAAGACTTTCCAGTGCTTCAATCACTGTTTGCATAAAAGATGCGTCTGACGGATAGTAAACTGTATAACCATGTAATGTTGAACTTTTTGCACTTGTGACAGCAGGATTGTAACTCGCTAACTGTTCCAATGATTCTTCATGCAGAATTCCATTGTGTAAAATTTTATGCGCCACAGTACCGTTGTATAAAACTGTAAGAAAATACTAAATTTCAATAATTCCATTACAATTTACAAAAAGCAAGGTAAGATTAAATAAAAATTATTTTTAATTGGAAAAAAATTGCAAATGCAACAAAATATTTAAATTGTACCTTTTGAACCATATTTTGCCACAATATCTAATGTGTTTGCAAGTTCTGACAAACGCAATGTATCACCCGGATTTAAAGAACCATAAAGCATCCCGTAGTGTGCATTTCTCGATAATTCATTGACAAAATCCTTAGATACAACAAATCCTTCTCGAGCTAATTTAACAGAGGGTTCTACGATATCACGCCATGGCAAGCTGCCATATGATTCTTGAACAAATTCCAATCCTTGTAATAAAATTGGCAAACGTACTTCACCTTCTGCAAAGAGGCATATTGGATTGATAAATAATATTTTACTTTTTCCTGCATTTATTACTTCATACATGTACTAAAGTAATATACAAACCTTTAGCTGTATTATTTACAATATTAATAACAATGGGATGAGTGTAATTTTTATAATTATATATCATTATACGACCACCTCTAAAAATAAATAAATAAATTCAGAATTAAAGAAATAACAAGAATTAAGAATTTAAAGCAATATCTTACCCGCCAAGTCCAGTTTTATGGGGTGCCACTACAGTCATGCAAATAGTTGCCGCTATTGCAGCATCCACTGAATTGCCTAATCTTCTAAGTATTTTGGTACCAATTTGAGAACAATTTGAATAATCAGTAGCAACTGCTCCATGAAGGCTAATCTAAAATGAAATAAAAATATTGTTAGAATATTTTATTAACACTTTACATTCTTCTCTTTCTATGCATACCTGTGGTATACTTTCGGTGTAGTAAATTTGCAACACTAGCATAGTAGTGATAGCAAAAGTTAATGCAAGAAAACAAATAATGATAAATCTCAGTCCATTGCAGGAGCATAGTCTATATTTATAATCTTTTTCCTTTGTCAAAGGACATTCTTCTGTAAGACCTGAAAAATATGCTTTTTCTTTTTCATCTTTACTCAGTGAAAGATTTTCATAAGTCATACTAACGCATAACAATGCTAAATTTATGTATGTCAAAACAGATGTTTATATTTCGTAAAACTTACGTGTATTATAACTCATTTTTGTAAGTTCACTATCTCAGTGATCAAGATATTAAAATATTCTTGCGCTTAAATTACCATAATAATAAAATACTGAGAAAATTACAACAATATGTATTATTCAAAACTGATGCGCCAATAGCGAAAAAAAAAACGTGAAGTGAAAATAAATAACGGAATTGGACGGAAAAGGAAGGAAAGCTGACTTATTCTACCGCCATCTAACAAGAATAAGAGAGAAACTAAATAATATGGTACACGCACAAAGCGGTACTTTTAAAAACATCTTGTATCTATTTTACAAGATAAAAAGAATTTAAAGGTACAACTTCATAAAAATAAAAACAACATTGTTTTATGAATTTGAAGAACTAAATATATTTCCTAAAAAGTCATTAGACTCCCAGTAATCAGTATATTTTTGTTTACGTTCTATGTAAGAGGTATCAAAATTACATTTAGTTAATTCTATTGAACTAGATTGAATGTTTGGTCTTATATTATAATAATTTTCTAAAAACTCTAATACCGATGACTTATTTTGTAAATTATTAAATAATATTCGATCTTTCTTGGGTAGAATCTTTTCCAACATAAATACCAAATGATGATGGAAGCATTGAAATTCAGTTGGTACAGTTGATGTGATGTTTAACCAATCTTGAACGCAAACAAGCGGGGTAACAGCAGGTCCCGTAAATAATGCCGGATTAGTTAAAATACCTCTTGCAGACATTACACCTTCGCACCTAGATTCTTTGAATAAAAATTCTGCATTTTCTAAGTTTTTCACATCACCATTTGCGACAAGAGGCAACTGTACATAATCTCTAAGAAGTTTAAGATTATCCAAATCGATAGGTTCATTACGCATCTCAGGAGTCCTCGCATGGACTGTCAAAAATGAGGCGCCAGCTTTCTCTAAGATTTGACAAAACATTATTGTCTGGCGTATGTCCTTTAACAGTCGTATCTTCACGGAAACAGTGAATGGACTAGGAATACGATTTCTGATTTGATATACCAAATCTTTCACAAGTTCTGGTTTTTTTAACAAATCAGCTCCATATCCTTCCTTCATAGCCCAACGTTGTGGACACCCACAATTTAAATCTACACCATCGCAATACCTATTAATTACAAAATAAGATAAGTACAGAAAACAAGCTTCTCGATGCTCAATTTACTGATAATTTACTGATATGTAATTGCATATATATGTACATATATGCATACATGCACATATATATGTAGCATTTATATGCACACATATATATATATATGCATATAAATAGCTACAGTACATGATAAACTTACGGTGCAACCATCTCTGCAGCACCCACAAAATCCTCTACTGTTTTAGCCGCAAATTGAACAATAAGTGGCTTATCTTCTTTATGAGTAGTAAATTCATTATCTCTAGCCTTTGCTGATTGCACAAACGAATCCGCCATGATCATAGGAGTAAAACAAATGTCGCATTCGTACCGTCTTACAAGTGTTCTAAATTGTAACCTAATGATGGCAAAAAAAAAAAAACAAAATTTACGTAAAACGTTCGCTTGAAAAATGCAACTTTAACTCACTTGCTGTATCTAACCATCGGAGCGCATATTTTTATCATTCTCGGCTCTTTTAATGTTGCTACTATATCAGTAGTCATTATGGTTATATTTTTGTTGGATTACTCAGATCATAAAAGCAACAAATTTGTGTAAATAAACGTAAGGATAAAAAAAAAGAGCACAATTATAAAAGAAGGAATAAAAATTTTAATTATACTCCAACTTAATGCTCATGTTCGCGTACATATATTTATCTGCGTTGCTATATTAAAATCAAAATTAAAACATAAAACGGCATGAAGTATGAAGATTGAAGATGTATGTGTATCTACGAAAAATATGCTACTAACCTGTTATAAATGTAATGAAATACTGGCTTAGTTTACACCGATTGTTTAGTACGCGTACCAAATACTAAATCTGCTTCTCTGATAGGTATAAATCGTTTAGTGTAAAATCTACACCAATCAAAGAAGCTGATTTAGTACTTGGTACGCGTATTAAACAATCGGTGTAAACTAAGCCATTTGCATGGTTCGTAATCCGATATCCGATGTCCAATAGAAAGATTTGTCTTTTAGAAACTTTTGTCGTTTATTGAAAAGTGGACGTAACAAAATTTTGTTATTCCATCTAGATATGATTCTATCGAAGACTGCCGTGTAGTTTGTGGTCAGCCGGTAGTCAACGTACCGATGTTGTTAGTTCTGCATTCGACTTGGATGTTCGTTTAGCGAAGAGCAAATTTCTAGACATTTTAAATACAAAAATAGATTCAAAGCCTGCATGCGCTTGTAGGCTGAGTGAAAATGAGTAATATATTTGGTCTTGAAGATGGTAAGTGAATAATAGACATAAAATTGAAAATTAAGTGTAATATGTAGATCAAGGAAAAGAAAAAGTTTACTCGCTCTGTAATCTACCGATTAACTCCGAATTTTGATCCACAAAATCGAACGTATTTATTTTATTCTAGATCAATATGACGATGAAGATGCGGAGGAAATTTCGTCGAAACTTTGGCAGGAAGCCTGTTGGATCCTTATTAACGCGTACTTTGACGAAAAAGGTCTTGTACGACAGCAGCTTGATAGTTTCGACGAATTCATCGAAATGTCCGTCCAACGTATAGTAGAAGATTCGCCGCAAATTGATTTGCAAGCAGAGGCTCAACACACTACAGGCGAAATAGAGAACCCTGTGAGACATTTGTTGAAATTTGAGCAAATTTATTTATCGAAGCCGACACATTGGGAGAAAGATGGTGCGCCGTCCCCTATGATGCCTAATGAAGCCAGATTGAGAAATTTAACGTACTCCGCGCCATTATACGTAGACATTACGAAAACAATTGTGAAAGATGGCGAGGATCCTGTCGAAACACAACATCAGAAAACATTTATTGGCAAAATACCAATTATGTTGAGATCCAAGTACTGCTTGCTCGCTGGCTTATCCGATCGTGATTTAACAGAATTAAACGAGTGCCCATTGGATCCTGGCGGATATTTTATCATTAATGGCTCGGAAAAGGTTCTTATAGCGCAAGAGAAAATGGCAACAAATACCGTTTACGTATTCAGCATGAAAGATGGTAAATATGCTTATAAAGCAGAAATCAGGTCCTGCTTGGAGCACAGTTCGCGACCCACCTCAACTTTATGGATTAACATGATGGCCAAGAGCGGTGCTAGCATTAAAAAGTCTGCCATAGGTCAACGTATTATTGCCATTATTCCATATATTAAACAGGAGATTCCTATAATGGTTGTCTTTCGTGCTCTCGGATTTGTGGCCGATCGAGATATCCTGGAACATATTATTTACGACTTCGACGATCCCGAAATGATGGAAATGGTGAAGCCGTCGTTGGACGAAGCTTTTGTTATACAGGAACAGAATGTTGCCTTAAATTTCATCGGAACCAGAGGCGCCAGACCCGGCGTGACAAAGGAAAAGCGAATCAAATACGCGAGAGAAATTTTGCAGAAGGAGATGCTGCCGCATGTGGGCATAAGTGATTTTTGTGAAACTAAAAAGGCTTACTTCCTCGGTTATATGGTGCACAGATTACTGTCGGCGTCCCTAGGACGAAGGGAGTTGGACGATCGCGATCATTACGGCAACAAGAGATTGGATTTAGCCGGACCTCTGTTGGCGTTTCTGTTCCGCGGTTTGTTCAAGAATCTTATGAAGGAAGTGCGTTTGTACGCACAGAAGTTTATAGATCGTGGAAAAGACTTCAATCTCGAGCTGGCCATTAAGACGAAAATTATCACCGACGGTCTGAGGTATTCACTCGCCACGGGCAACTGGGGCGATCAGAAAAAAGCGCATCAGGCAAGAGCGGGAGTGTCGCAAGTACTGAACAGGCTGACCTTCGCGTCGACATTGTCGCACTTGAGGCGAGTGAACTCGCCCATCGGAAGGGACGGTAAGCTCGCCAAGCCACGTCAATTGCACAACACGTTGTGGGGGATGCTTTGCCCCGCGGAAACGCCCGAGGGTGCCGCTGTAGGATTGGTAAAGAATTTAGCTTTAATGGCGTACATAAGCGTCGGCTCTCAACCTTCCCCCATCCTTGAATTCTTGGAGGAGTGGTCGATGGAGAATTTAGAGGAAATAGCGCCGAGCGCCATCGCCGATGCTACGAAAATATTCGTCAACGGATGCTGGGTGGGTATTCACAGAGATCCAGATCAGTTGATGGCTACTCTGCGCAAATTGAGAAGACAGATGGACATCATCGTCTCTGAAGTATCTATGATCCGCGATATTAGGGATCGCGAAATAAGAATATATACAGACGCCGGTAGAATTAGTAGACCACTGCTCATAGTGGAAGGACAGAATCTGTTATTAAAGAAGAGGCACATCGATATGCTGAAAGAAAGAGATTATAACAACGACGGGTAAGTTGTAAGCTCTTGATATTCTTTTTTTTTCATTTCTCGGCTTTACGATGTTAACACTCACATTATTTACAGGTGGCAGGAATTGGTGGGCAGCGGCGTGGTGGAATACATTGACACACTGGAGGAAGAAACTGTTATGATAGCCATGTCACCTGATGATCTCAGACAGGACAAGGAGTATGCGTATTGCACGACGTATACGCACTGCGAAATTCATCCGGCGATGATCCTGGGCGTGTGCGCTTCCATTATTCCTTTCCCCGATCATAATCAAAGTCCTAGAAATACTTATCAGGTATACGCACGCGTCTCACTGCATTTCATTCTTCGTTTCTGCGTATTTTTACAAGTATCGAGTGTATAAAAATGACCACTATTTTTTCAGAGCGCTATGGGCAAACAAGCTATGGGTGTATATATTACGAATTTCCACGTACGCATGGATACCTTAGCTCACGTGTTGTATTATCCGCACAAACCGTTGGTCACCACGAGATCCATGGAATATCTAAGGTTCCGTGAATTACCGGCGGGTATTAACAGCATCGTCGCGATCCTGTGTTACACCGGATACAATCAAGAAGATAGCGTCATTCTGAATGCCAGCGCTGTCGAAAGAGGCTTTTTCCGATCAGTGTTCTACCGCTCGTACAAGGAGTCCGAATCGAAGAAGATCGGTGATCAGGAAGAACAGTTCGAGAAACCTTCGCGTTTGACTTGTCAAGGAATGCGCAATGCGATATACGACAAGCTGGATGACGACGGAATCATCGCTCCTGGAATTCGAGTGTCGGGCGATGATGTGATTATAGGAAAAACGATCACTCTACCTGAAACGGACGACGAGGTGAGTTGATTTTCCGCCCTTCAACAACAAACTTACATTATCTGATCAGTAAAAGGAATGATGAATAATAATTCTTTTGGCTTGCAGCTGGACAGTACGACGAAACGATTTACGAAACGCGACGCGTCGACTTTCCTGCGAAACAGCGAGACCGGAATAGTCGATCAAGTAATGCTGACGTTGAACAGCGAGGGCTATAAATTTTGCAAGATTCGCGTGCGCAGCGTACGTATTCCGCAGATCGGTGACAAGTTTGCGTCGCGTCACGGTCAAAAGGGTACGTGCGGGATTCAGTACAGGCAGGAGGATATGCCGTTCTCTTGCGAAGGTCTCACACCCGATATCATCATCAATCCTCACGCCATCCCTTCTCGTATGACTATCGGTCACTTGATCGAATGTATACAGGGGAAGGTTTCTGCCAACAAAGGTAACGCAATTTTCATCTTCGGTTCAAGCAAGATGTATATATTGTTGACCAGGGTTGGGAAAGTTATTTTGTAAAAGTATCTAGTTAAAGTTACAGTTCTTTTCACCAAAAAAACAACTAGTTACAGTTACAAGTTACCGACTCTGAAAAGTAACACGTTACAGTTTTAGTTACTCAAAAAGTAACGAGTCATTACTTTTCAGTTACTTTTTTGCAATAAATGTGCACTATTATTTTAAATATAAGAATCTTACATTTCAAGATTTATTAACTTATTATATACTACATAGGTACTTAATTTTGTGTTATATTATTTTATATGTAATAAATCACAATTGTTTTAAACTTAAAATATTAAATTAATTAATAATTTAAAATAAATTATTATACACTTAGAATAAAAATTATAGGATTAAAATTTTTCAGTTTAAAAATTTACAAATTTCACACAAACAGTTGTAACTTTCCGAAAAATCGTAGACTAATGTTTCAGTTCTTCTTAAAGTCTCAACTTTATATTTATATGATAATCAAAGATAATTTATTGCTGGGTGGCAGTGCATTCTTTAAATGAGAATTTGTTTATTTCTGTTGAATTTCATAATTAATATCTATACGTTTATCCGTCTATGTAACAAATATCGAATCTACACTTAATATGACAAATTCCATGACAATTTTGTTCCTTTCCTAATGCATATGTTTATGCGACTATGCAAGTGTGTCTGGATAGGCCCTAATTTTTACAATTAATACAATCGTATATAGAATATTAAAATAACTGTTAAATTAGTTACTAGTTACCATAAATGTGTAACTAAGTTAAGTTACAGTTATAAATGAAAAAAAAGAAACGAAGTTAAGTTATAGTTACCGAAAAAAAATAACTGTAACTGTAACTTTGTTACAAGTAACGAGTTACTTCCCAACCCTGTTGTTGACTCATGTGAATTAATAAATTTTCAGGAGAGATCGGTGACGCCACGCCGTTCAATGATGCTGTCAATGTGCAAAAAATTTCCACGCTTCTACAAGAATACGGTTACCAGTTGCGAGGAAACGAAGTGATGTACAACGGACACACAGGTCGCAAGATCAACGCCCAAGTCTTCTTAGGGCCGACGTATTACCAACGATTGAAGCACATGGTGGACGATAAGATTCACAGTAGAGCGAGAGGGCCTGTACAGATCTTAGTTAGACAGCCTATGGAGGGTCGTGCGAGGTAATTACACATCATTGTAACTCTTATTATTTTAATGAAAATTATCCACTGCTATTGAAATGCTTATCTACATATTTACAGAGACGGCGGACTACGTTTCGGAGAAATGGAGCGAGATTGTCAAATTTCTCATGGCGCGGCGCAATTTCTGAGAGAACGTCTTTTCGAGGTGTCAGATCCATATCGAATTCACATATGCAATTTCTGCGGCTTAATCGCTATAGCCAATTTACGGAACAATACCTTCGAGTGCAAGGGTTGTAAAAACAAAACACAGATTTCTCAAATCAGATTGCCGTACGCGGCAAAATTACTTTTCCAGGAATTGATGGCGATGAATATCGCACCTAGACTTATGATACATTAATTCTTATTCTATGTATATATATCTTTTAGATTTTCGTATATCAGGTTATATACAGATTCCGTATAGTTGTTTTAGTAAGAAAATAAAATGGATTTCGAAATCTATTCCACGTTATTAGTCCCGGAGCTGTCCTTTATATCGATCTCGCCGTGAACCGTGAACTTATTCAATTGTGCGATAACTGAGGCTCTACAATGATGCTTAATATATATTCATTTGTATGAACACGTACATCACGGAATGTCAAATAAATATTTAATAAATAAGCTTCAAATTTATATTGTTTGACTGAACATTATAAATATTTAAAAAAACATTTATGATGCGAGTATTCTGCAAAAACAATCAAAAATAATTTATGATATTAATGATCCAAAATCCTGACGTGACACACATCTAAAATACAGAATTTTGCTCTGCAGACAGGGCAAGTACACTTGGAGGACAACCACGTTTCCGGCGCATTCTCATCTTGTCTCGAAGCAAACCTGTTTAAGACAATAATACCTGAGTACAAAATAATTTATGAATTAAGATTGATAATAGTGAAGGATGCTAACCATTTTGCCATACATTCTATACACCACATTGGACGGCAGTAACACGTCATACAGTTGTCGGAATCTCTATTTTCAGTGTTGCTGCACAATTTGTTTAATTTTATGTTTGAGGATGCTTGCATGCATCCAATGCACTGATCCAATTCCTGGAACAAATCAATAACTGTGATTCAAGATGAATCGAGAAAAGGAATTCAAATAGCCGAACTGCTGCATACCTGGGCAGTGTCATAGAATGGATTTCTATTAACTTCGTCTTTGAAAGTATCGATGAATCTATCCAACAAGGTCCTATGAAAAGTTATATTCTGCAGTACAATAATTGGCCGTGAAACTTTATCTTGCAAGTCCTTAAAATCCAATGCGTTTAATCTTATATCGAATGCACGTGCCATCGCCCGCGTAGGCTTCACCTGAAAGGTAAAGCGAAAGTCAGTATGACATTAATTGTGTGGAGAGTAATTCTGTGCAATAATTTGTATACCTGTATATTGATAAACTGAACTTGATCTCTCGTCGTGGGCGACATTAAATGAGTATCGCTCTTATTTACAACCAAAGTTGCATCACTTTGATGCGCCACTTGCAACTTATAAGGAGTAATCTTAATAATCCAATTGTCGGTTGCTACGACACGAGTTATACTATTTGTGACAATAACAATTTTATCTACTCTAAAATAAAATCGTGTTACTTTAGTATAAATGTACTTACAACAGCATTTAAGTTCCTAAGAATAAATTAGGTATTTGAATGAACCTTCGATATTCTATATTAATGTCAGAGGCGACACTTATCCATGATGTATTATTGTTACTGTACACAGCAAGATTTTGCGCTATCGGATGTGTAGTCCAATTATGTATAGACCATTCAAAGATTTTATTCAATGCATAAAGCGGACCAATTGTGGCACAAGCAGTGATCAATAGCCCAAAGGAAATTCCATCAGTGAGAAACAGTTTTGTGACGTTCACGTGACCAAAGAAAATTAATCCTAAAATGTAGCCTGTGCAAAGGAAAGTAATACGTTGTGAAAGTTCACGTAAATAATAAGAAAGCAGTGGACGAACATTTGTTAAAAACATGCCTATTACCCAAAGGCAGCATAGAGTGTACGATTAACGTAACTATGCTTCTTTTGATATGATACTGTATAAAAAACTCATTTTCGCTACCAAGCCAATTTGCGAAGATATCTTTCACGGTGAGCCCCGCCGAGACGAATTCTGTCGGCGGATAGACGATGCATCCGGACATCAAAAAATAAAATAAAGTGTAGAAAATTAAAGCGGACATTTTTCATGGAGAAAGGCTTCCGTTTGTTGTGACAGCAACGCCGGATTTATTTAGATGCACTGCGATATTTCGCAAAATTCTCCTTTAGCACTATCTCTTCCACCTCGCCTCGTCAGAACGCAATAACATGACGATAGGTTACGTTCGGTTCAAAGTACTCTTCTACAACATGTTGCGGGACAACCGATGACAACTGGGTACCGCAAAAAACTCCGGCAAAACCCGGTTACCGAGAACCGATGACAGCCGCGGTCTCGGACAAAATTTCGATTTTTTTCACTCAATATATGTATTTGTCTGTTTATTATCAATATATATGTATATTGTATATATATCTTTTATCACACATGACATAAAAAACAGAGATACCCTAAAAGCGGCCACTGTGGCATTTTCAGCAGAATGCTCAGTGATCTCTATTCAACAGCATCATCTACGCTCGTCTCATAATTGCAATTACATGGTTGCGTCAATTTTTCGACTGATAGTAAAAGATACTTTTTTTAATACGCATCGTGTACTGATAACGCAGTTTGGACAAAATAGTTCAAGTTGCGGCGCTCTGCCTGCGGAGCATTTAACCCATTTAGCCTATAAATTTGTTTACATGCATTATTTGCATTATTTTTTTTGAATACCGCAAATATTAATAATTACAGAGATTTTTTTTGTATCGAAATTATACCGAGTCTGCGCAAAGCAATCATAATGAATTACTTCTCGCATTCCCGATGAAGCTAAAGCATCTTTGCAAGCCACGTTATGCGCTTACGTAAGGTAAACACAGGAAATTAACATTTTCAAAGTCAAGATACGTGAGTCAAGATTGATATAAAGCTGCAGCGAGAGCTGAGGCGTTTATGGGAAGCTACAGGATTCTCGCGCAGCCTACTCTCCATTGAGCGCTCGAATGCCGTCGACGTTTCTCTGGCCTTATAAGGACACCAGCTGCACCTACATCTATATAATTGTGTTGCTCTCGCGCGTGCTGACAATGAATAGGCAACGAACATGGATCCACAGTGATGCCAGCTGTACCAAATTGAGAAATGAATCATTATGGCAATATATGTATCATGTGACCTAATGAAAAAAATTACTGTCAGATATAATCTGCGACGTATGATTATGTTAGCTCTCGCCTCAGCTTTATTTCAATATTGCACATTTCTTTTTGGCAAATCATGATATAATTATTACACAAATAAGTACTCTACTTGACATCTATGGACTCGCGATAGATTTTCATGGAATATTTACTAAAACGCCGATTAAGATTTACTAAATGCATTTACTGTTCCGCTCGTGTTTTGCATCGTTGCTTCGACATCGCTTTATTCTTTGCAAGGTAAATCTATCATTCAGCGGATACAATGGATACGCTGTAAGGACACAGAGCTATTCCAAGCGGAAGCAGATATAGATGGAAGCATGTATGCATTTAATAGCTACAGAGTTCGTTGGCCGTGTCTCTCTAAAATTGTCCCGTGTCTACGTTCTTGAGTCGTTTTGGCTTCGAAATGAGCTCTTGGTTTATTTTAGCTTTTTAGAAAAGAAAAGTACAGCTTGGATACGTTGAGAAACGGTAAAACGCACAGTGCAAAACCGTTGACATGCAACGTCATGCGCAATATGAAATGTAAATTGTAAAAAGAGTGGAGGGGGTATAACGGCTACAGCGGCTACAACGGCTACAACGGCTATGTGAAAATTGCAAAAAGTTGAACTTTATAACGCCCGTACTGGCATGATTGTAAATCGATTGCAAATGTGGTTACGTAATCTCGTAATCCTACATACATAGACCGGATACGAAGCGTGACGGGTGTCATTGATAGCGGTATACTCTCGAACTTCGAGACTCGAAGCAAGCGTAAATCGGGTACAAACCGAGGCTATAAGAGACGTTGTGCGCAGCTTGCACGCCTCAGTGAGTCAAGATCGTTTGAAGGAGCTCCATAGCCAGCTTTGTTCAAACGGCCATTTCGTTTCACGGTGTTTTCGCATCACAGTTCAGGAATTTTCATATCTTCTTCGTTCTACAGTGAACAGCATTCTTCAAAATGGTAAGATTTTGTTTCTCGCAATAAATAATCATGTGTATTCATTTTTTAGATTAACTTTTTAAGTAGAAAAAGTGTGAAAATGCAGCTTTTATCATAATTCGAAAAATAATCTAGTAATCCAATTAATACTTTAATTTCGCCAAAGTCATAATTTTCACGATTCATTTAACACAGTGCTCTCTCGATTGGCGCAAGTGATGACTACGGATGTGTCCGCTGTCGCATTACGCTATTGCTACTTTTAGAACAATTTGCGTGATGCGACGCAGCAAATATTGCGAACGATTTGTTTTTCATTAACTCGCTTTTTTAACGCTGACTATTCCACTTGACTCGATCAATTTGATATCTGTGTCCTGTACGGTATCCCGCGTAAATGTATATTCATTATCTACGTAGCAATTCTCTGCATTTAGCTTTTAGAATTCTTTCGTAAATTTAATTGCCGAAATGCGTCGTGTAATATTGCTGTGATACTTTGCAGCGTGAGTGCATATCAGTCCACGTAGGACAGGCGGGAGTGCAAATAGGAAACGCTTGCTGGGAATTGTATTGTTTGGAACATGGCATTCAACCGGACGGACAGATGCCTTCTGACAAAGTACTCGGCTGCGGTGACGACAGTTTCAATACTTTCTTCAGCGAGACCGGCGCCGGCAAGCATGTGCCCAGGGCGGTGTTCGTCGATCTCGAGCCCACTGTAGTCGGTACGCGCGAAAAATAT